TCCTGACCCATAAACTCTCAGTCAGCTCCTCACCCATCCTCATAATGCTTGTGAAATGAACATTGAGAGCCTAGGCAGGTAATGGAAATAGCAGGTGAGTGAAACACCTGAAGTGGTGTTTGGTGTTGCCAGAAAGCATTCTGGTGGCAGAAATCATGGTATTCATTCCTGTTTGCAGCCAGCAAACACTGGATATTGCTCATTAGTTTATTTTCTATCTTGAAAACAAAGTCTCCAGACTATGTAATAATGCATTTCCACTTCAAAACAGCAGGTGTTTTCAGCCTGTGGAGCCTGGTTTCTTCAAGACTTCCACAAGCACAGTCCCAGTGCTCTGATGAAAACATTGTTCTGGCAGACCTTTGGGTTAAGATCTGAAAAAGTCCAGTGGAGCTATATAATGTTGAATTTAATTATGAGGGGGAAAGGGATAAGAGAGGGAGTCAGAGATTTAGTAAGGTCGATTGAGTCTTGCTTTTGTCTACTTATGAACATGAACACTCCCCCCTCATAGTGGGACAGTATGAGGATTGCCCTGGTAAAATCCCAATAAGTTACTGGGTACCTTTCACTGGCTGGTGAATGCTTTTCGTAATCGAATGGAGTTCAGCCTGTTGTTGTTATTTGAGTCCCAGGAATGGTTCTGCCCCCCTATCACCTCTCTTAGGAATAGATACCAGATAGAGAAATGCATTATGAACACCTTAAACTGGCAGTTTCCCAACCTTCAGTGATCCAAAGTTAACAGTAATAAGAAAGCAACATGCTCTTTGGCAATACTTTACTTTTCTTTCCATCTCAGCTGTAGTTTGAATCTGGGAATATTAACATACTGCTTGCTAGCAATGGGTTGGGAATAGCTGCAGAACAGATTCATGGCAGCTACTCCCTGCTCTAGGCCACAGAGATGCCCTGGGGATTTACTTGCATCATAGCAAATGCTCCTAAATATATTCGGAAGGAAAATGTAGACATTGCTCTTCCCACCTGGTTTTGTTGTTGTGGTTGTTTTCTGACTCCCTCTCTGGAGCCTATGCAGTAATAAGCAGGTCAGCATAATCACTTTGTTATGAGAAAGTAATGTATAAATAATATTTTTATAAATTAATTAAGGGGGAGAATTAATTGAAAATTTTCTGTATTTTTAGGGAGTATTGACTTTGTATCCGGCCTGCTTACCAACGTAAATCCTTTAGCAGTGTGGCTCTCCCCAGACAGCTGCCATTAAGAATGATGCTTAAAAGTTGGAACAGCCTCAGGAGCTATCCCCTGAGAGTGGATTGCAATGTTCTGGGAAACTACCCTGTTCACCACAATAGACACAGAGAGGCAAAAGCATCTCTGACAGCCACAGCTGCTGTATTTTGGTCACAGTCAGGACATTCTATAAAAGGGCAATTATGGATACAGATAACTTACTCTCATAAAAATCGTAAATGCTGGATGGGATCCCAAGAGACTACCTACGTCACCTTCCTGTTCTTAAAGAACTCGAATGGTGGAGATGCCGTAGTCTCTCTAGGAAGTCTGATTGGTTTACAGTGCTTCACTATGTAGATAATGTCTAACCTGAATACCTTAGGAGTCTGAACCCATGATTTCTTGTCTTATCCAGAACTTTCATGAAGAACAGATTGTTTCTTCTCTCCTTTTAGCAGCCTGTGAAAAATGTTGCCGTCTAAAAATCATAGAATCATACAACATTTAGGTTAGAAGGGACCTCTGGGAATTATCTAATCCAACCTCCTGCTTGAAGCAGGGCTAACTTCCAAGTTAGCACAAGACCATGTCCAGTCAAGTTTCCAGGGACAGAGATACTGCAGTGCCTCTAGGCTCCTGCTCTGGTCCTTAACCAGCCTCATATGACCCTGGATTGGTGCAACCTTTTCATAACAGGACAGCATTGTTGATTTACGATCATCTGGTGACCTCCAGCAATCCTCAGGCCTCTTTCTGTAGGACAGCTGTAATTTTAATTGAATGGACTAATTCCCCATCCTGTATTTGGGTAGCTGATTATCTCTGCTTAAGTGCTGCATTTTGCATTTGATCATACTGAATACCATCCCATTTATTTCTGATCCTATTTCCAGTTTGGCAAGACCATTTCGAATTACAAACCTTTAGCATACTAGCAGCCTTTTCTGGAATGATGTTGCCTGTACATTCCATGGTAATGCTCTTGTCTACTGAAAATATAATACTCTCTTTCCTTTTGTGGGTGGATATATAGGTTCATTCATTTGCACTTCTCCCAGAGCGATGACAGAAGTGCAGAGAAAGAGTCAATCTGCATTGAATTTTGCTAATAATCGGACTTTGCAAAGACAAACAGCAAATGGAATTGGTTCAAAATCCATTTAAAGGTGATTCCAGTGTGTTTGAGATCAAGCATGAGACAAGTTAGCAGCAGAGACAATTTATCTGGGGGCTTTAGGGGGAGGAAGAATGTTTAAATTGATTTAGAATTATTTAACTTTTTTATATCATGGTTTGAAAGCTAGCTCTTGGTGGGAGCTCTGTGCACGCAATGAGCGTGTTTGGCCTTGAACACATGTATCTGGTTTTAGTTAAGCCAAGCTGGCCACACTCATTCCACCCTGCACATGATCTCATTCCATGTTCCTTGTCATGGTATCTGCACACCATCCAGCAATGTATTAACAGCGTGAGTAACGTGTCTTACGTTGATTATTCTGTCACCAAGGGAGAAGTGTGTCTTGTCTGGTAGGGAACTCAGATTGTTTTAAACAAATCTCTATACTTATGCTGGAGAAAAGTCAAGAGCTACGCCTTGTGTTAGGAAAAAGATTTGGGAAGGTGTGTGCTGGGTCTTGGGTCTTGGGTCAGGCCATTTTGTGAGTCAGACCAGCTACAACCAGAGAATATTGTGATTCCTGCTCTGACGAGCTTTCCTTGTACTGTGAAAAGGCATTTGCACTGCTGCCAGCATGCTTCAGCCATTCATACTCTGTGACACTTTGGGCACCTCCAAACTCTCCTGTTAGTCTGAGAAGAAAAATGCTCCCAATAGTCTTTATTTTGCATTTAATGAAATGACCAGGTTGGTGTTAGAAATGGAATGTGCTGTGTGTCAGCCAAATGGAAGAAGTGTCTCCAGGCTGCAGGGAGGAGAGGGAAGGCTTGAAAAACTTGTTCTGCTGCTCAGTGTTTGTATTTGTTCTGTGTGCAGTGAACAAGCTGAAATCTGTGTCCCTGCTGGGCCTGTTTGCAGTGTGTGTTACCCACAGGGCAAGTTTTCTGCTAGTCATCTGTCATATTGGAGAGGAAAGGCCATTGCTAGTGGCTGTCATTAGAGGCTGCATGATGCTCTTTGCATATTTACTGAGCTAAACTCCAGCCTTAGCTCTCATCTGTGTGATAAAGGAGGTGCCTCTCTGCCTCTCTACAGCATCTCAAGTGTAAGAGCCCCAAAGCCCTTTATAGAGGCTAATTCAACTTCAGATTGTGCCTGGGAGCAAAGCGCTCCTCATTTGAAGAGGGGCAAAACTGAGCGATCAAAGGCTGAACCTAATTGCCTCTTCTCCTATACACAGTTCTCAGAACAGATTTTGACCCAAATATCCCTGCCCCCCCCCCC